GTATAATTGTCAACCCAGCAGACAGTCCTGTAATGTCATGTTCAAGACAGGGTGTTTCTTGTCACCGCTATGGAACATTACTTTGGAAGTGTTCGCCAGTGTAGTTAAACTAGAAAATGAAATAATAGAATTGTTAAGGGTTCTAGAGCACTGCACAGTTCAGCTCATTAGCTTAGCCAAGCTTACCTCTTCGGCCTTGTCTGGCATCACACCACCACCATCACCTTCACCACCCACCACCACCACCAAGTGGGGCTAGGTTTCACGGCATCTTTTTCCCTCAAAGCAGTGTGTTTTAAACATGGATGGTGTATATATTCTCTTTCGAGGAAAAAAATGATTGTATAGTCCTACTTAAGTTATTTTTATACTTTAATATTTTAACTTCAATATGTGCCTTTGTGAAACTTTGTATAATCCCTTTATAGTCTTCATATAATATAAGGAATTTACAGATTAAATGGAAGCAAGACCACAGAACAAAATAAAAATTAACCTTGATGTAATGGATGATATTTTGCTGGCACTAGATTGCTGTAGGTCTAATTCTGTATTTAATCTGAGTCTGTATTTTTACTTCAATAGTACTAATACAGAGAATGTCTGTTTGATAAGTATCTTACATAAAAGAATGTAACTTCAATTGTTTGCTAGTACAGAATAATCAGACTTCATATTCAATTGAAACTTTATCTGCAGGTAAACCTCAAAAGCCAATTATGTAATCTTATCCAATTGTTGGAATTGGCAACAGAAAAAAAATTTAATTGTGTATTTAACACTAAATTATAATGTTCTATTACAAGTTCTATGGCCGGATAAGCAGGATATATATAATATATCTGCTTGCAGCATGGATATGATATTGGGGAACAGAGCTCGGATTTTTTTGAGTTCTGCATGTCTGTCTATATTGGGTGCCCTGGGCTGACTCATGTCTCATTCCACTCTTCTTTTTCAGAATTAACTCAAACCTTCATGAGTATTTTTACTTATGTGGTCTTCATTTGATATGAATGCATTTATAAACCCAAATTTGAAAAGTCTGGGAATTAATGAATCAGAATTAAGGAGGTTACTTTACAGTACAAATCCTGAGAACTGTGAATGTGCCAGTGCACATTGTGACTGCAGGAAATGAATGCACAGTATGCTTGGTTTCTGGAGCTTGCTGCAGTTTGTTAATGAGCATTCCAAGGCAGATCAGTCACATGCTTTCATATGCTATAAAATATGTCTTTTCTCTAAATTTGCTGTGTCTTTAAAGTATTTGTTTCCCCACTTGGCTTTTTGCCCCCTCTGTAAGTGGTCTGTCTCTCTCTCTCTCTGTCTCAAGGCACTTACTGTCAACAACGGGAGGTGGAGGCCATAACTGAAGGTGTTGAGGAAGATGAAGGATTTTGCTGTTGTGAGCCTGGCCACATTCCTCATGTGCTTTCATTTAATGCTGCATTTAGCCAACGCTGGCTAGCTTGGGAAGTCATAGTCACCAAGTATATTCTGGAGGGTTATAGCATCACTGACAATAGTGCTGCCTCTATGCTTCAAGTCTTTGATCTTCGGAAAGTACTCACCACTTATTATGTCAAGGTAAGGGTATGTGCCTACTTGATCTTCTAATAATCGGAGGCTCTTCTTGGAAAAGACATATGTATATATTTTTTTACTATGTTTTACTTCTGTGTAGTGATTTAAATTCTCTAGTATCCAGTCCATTCAGTCAATTATACCTACAAAGGTCTTACTATTTCTTTCTTTAGTGACACTTCATTTGCTCATTAATATTACTAGCTACCATTTATAGCTCATATTTTGTAGGCACTGTGCTAAGGAATATACACATACATGCATGCATACATACACATATGTGTATCTTACCTAATTCTCTAAAGGAGTATTATGCCCATGTTTTACAAATAAACAAGTTAAGAATCAGAAGTTTACTTGCCCAAAGTCCTGTAACTACCAAGTAGAGTTGGGGATTTTAAACCCAGAATTGTCTGACTCCTGAGTCCTTGCTGTTCACCACTGCTTTGTATTGCTTTTGACAAATTGAATAAAAGTATTGCAAGATTTGAGGTCACCAAGACCACCCTTACTTGTAACAATGAACTGCAATTTCAGGGTCCCCAAGTTCACCCTCAGGTTCATTAACTTGCTAGAAGGTGTCACAGAATGCAGCAAAGCCATTCCACTCACAGTTAGGGTTTATTCTGGTGGAAGGAAGCCGATTCAAATGAGGCAAGGGGAGAAGCGTGTGGAGCAGCTCCGGAGACACCGGACGTGAGCTTCCCGTGTCCTCTCCCAGTGGAGGTGTGCAGACGCCTGTTTCTCTGGGCAACAATGTGTGACTCCTCACGGAGTGCTGCCAACTAGAGAAGCTCACTGACCTCAGTGGGGAGCGTTTTTATTGGAGTGCCGTCATTTAGACATAGTTAACCATCCACGTGGCCAGCCTTCTCTAGCTCCTCTAGAGGTCATGACTCTAAGCCTCCAGGTGAACAAAGACTCTGTTATGAGGCAGGACATCCCAGGGAATTAGAGGTTACCTCCCAGGACTCAAGTGCAAAGACCAAACCTCTCTTTGGGAGAAATTAGCTCTTTACTACTCAAGTATTCTGTTGCTAAAATGGCTAAAGATTTTACAGAAATGCAGTATGGTTATGATTTGGGGGCTTGCAGGTGAAGCAAATATTTTCAAGAGGAAAATGTGTGCTAAATTTTAATGACCCATATCGGAATTTTCCATATCTTATGTTGTTACCTCAATGGACCACCTTATTTGTACTGATTGGAGTGAACCTGAGTCTTCTACTTAATGTTTGGTTAATAAACCCAACCTTAGGAAGTTGAAGAGATTGCTTTTACAACATTTTTTACATGTGTGTGCATTTGTGTGTGTGTGTGGCATTTTTTGTCTCCAAATATGTATATTTCTATTGCTCTGTTATTAGTTATATTTCTATAACTTGATCTAGGATCACAGGATGAGTTAAGTTTTTATGAGAAATTTCTCAAAATAAATGCACCACAATAAAGGCTTTTCACCTCTCAAAAGGTCCTAAATTCAAAAGCTCTAAAATCAATAGACTAGAACGGTTTTTGAAGTTGTCTTGCTGAATTTATGGCTGTGATTTTAAAAGTTTTAAATTAAATGTTTTTTTCATCTAGGAAGATCTGACGTGTATTATTATAGCATTCTTAATATGTATATTTATAATACTGACCTAGAATAATATATTTGTGAATGGTGCTATCAGTATAAACAGTTGGGATTTATTTACTGAGGAACGGGAGTTAATGTACGTTGTGATTTAGCCTGGATTTTTTTTTAATCTTTTCCTCATTAGGGTATCATTTATTATGTTACAACCTCTTCTAAGCTAGAGGAGTGGCTAGCTAATGAGACAATGCAGGAAGGACTACGTCTGTGTGCAGATCGAAATTATGTTGATGTGGACCCTACATTTAATCCAAACATTGATGAAGACTATGACCACCGACTAGCAGGCATATCCAGGGAGAGTTTCTGTGTAATTTACCTCAACTGGATAGAGTATTGCTCTTCCCGAAGAGCAAAGGTAGAGTCTGTTTCTTTAATTTATAACTCTTTGAATCTGTTTTTCCGAAGATGGAAAGTATATCTCTGTTTGTTATTATTTTGAGGTCAGTTTTTACAGACCTTCCTTTTTCTGACCACCTGGGTAAGAGAACCTGTCCAGTTTGTTATGTTTGCACCAAACCAACCAACTCTGCCCAAACGAATTAAAATGGCCTCCCTCATTCTTTCCTTTCCAGTGTCATAATCTTCCTCTCCAGTTAGCATGCCCTCCACCCTGTGCATGCCCCCATACATATGCACAAATTTAGGTAACAGATTACATGTAGCACCTTCTTAAAGAATACATTTGGGGGCATCCCCTGCTGCCTTCCTACCCCCCAACACCAGACTTAAGGCTAATTTAGTATCTTTGTTCCAAATTCAAAGTCTAGACCAATGCAGTCATAGAATTTTTTGCAATGGTAGAAATGTTCTGTGCTGTTCTAGTATGGTAGTCACTAACCCCCCACATGCGGCTATTATTAAACACTTTAAATGTGGCCAGTATGACTAAGAAACTGAATTTTAAATTTTATTTAATTTTGAGTGATTTAAATTTAGGACTAGTGGTCTAGTGACCACCGTATTGGACAGTGTTCATCTACACTGTTGATTTTCAGATCTTAACATGGGTAAAATTGAGCTAGGAATGAGTAAAAATGCAGATTCTTGGGCTTTACCGGAGAGATTCTAATTCTATAGGTCTAGGCTGGGATCCCAAATCTGTGTTCTCTTGGGTGATTGTAATTCAGCTGGTTCCTAACCACACTACTGGATACCTTGTCTTATCCTGAAGGTAAGTGAGTGATAGACCTCACCAACTTCTGCTTTCCTTCTAGGTCTCAGGGCTCTCGTGGCTGTGTTGCTCCCCTAGTCAGACTCCATCTAGCATAGCCACAATGCCAAGGCCTGTGGTTGCACAAGCTGGCTCCTCCCACCACTGTTGCTTTCCAAGCAGAAGTCTTGAGTAGTTGCACCACCAGCATCCTGTGTTCAGGATTCTCTTGTTTCACGGAGCATAGGGAGGCACCTTGTCAGCTAGTGTCTTTCCCATGGTCTGGGATGGACACACTGACTTCAGATGTAGCACCCATTTTAGTCTTAGGTATGTGGTTTTTAATCAGGTTTGGGAATTTCCGCCATTATTTTTTCAAACATTTTTTCTGTTCTTCTCTCCCCCCTTTTTTGGGAACTCCAGTGACATTCATATTAGGCTGCCTGATGTCCTTCAGCTCAGTGAGGCTTTTTTCAGTCTCTTGTCTCTGTGTTCCAATTTTGCATAATTTCTATTGCTGTATATTTTTAGATCTTTTATTTTTTTCTTCTGCGTTGTTTAATATGCCATTAATGCCATCCAGTTATTTTTTTATATCAGACATTGCATTTTTCGTATCTCTTGAGATTTAATTTGTATCTTTCAGATAAATCTTCCATGTCTGTACTTAACATGCTGTCATTCCTCTATCATTTGAACTTACGGAATACAGTTGTAATAATTCTTTTAATGTCCTTGTTGACTAATTCTAACATCTGTGTCAATTCTGGGTCAGTTTTGATTGAGTATTCTTCAATTATGAGCCATAATTTCCTGCTACTTTGCATACCTGACAATTTTTTATTGGATGCTAGACTTTATGAATTTTACCTTGATGGGTGCTGGATATTTCTGTGTTCCTATAAATATTCTTGTACTTTGTTATGTGACACAGTTAAATTCCTCAGGGACAGTTTGATACTTTCAGGACTTTTAAGCTTTCATAGGAGGGACCAGAGTAGCCTTTAGTCTGGAGTTTTCTTCCCTATTACCGAGACAGACAGTACTCTTCTGAGTACTCTAGCTAATCACAAGATTTCCCATTATTGCTTTCTGATGGTTCTTTTCTTGGCTTTGGGTCCTTGCTATATGTGCTGATCAGAAATCTGCTGAAGACTCAGGAGGGGCCCTCTTCACGTGTCCAGAGCTTGCTTGCTGTGAAGCTCTGTCCTCCTCAGCCTCCCCAGACCACCAGCTGTCTCTTCCACGTGGAAACGTTGAGGTTCTTCCCCCTCTGTTCCCCTTCTTGTGCTGTGCCCTAGAAACTCTTGTAGGGCTACCTCTTCATTTTCCATCTCTCAGGGATTAGTGTCCGATATCTCAAAACCATTGTTTCTTATATTCTGTCCAGGTCTTTGGTTGTTCAGGTACAAGGGTAAATCTGGTCTTCGTGACTCTGTCTTGGTCGGATGCAGAAGCTAGAACTAAATTTAAAAAGAAAATTTCTTTTCTCATCACAACAGTAGTACATTTTCAGCATAAAAAGTTAACCAGATTGGGGGAGTAAAGGAGACAGAAAAGAAAGAAAATCATCCATAATTTTATTACCCATTATAACCACGTTTAATATTATTTTGTTTATATAACTTGAAGTCTATACCTACCCTCTCCCCTCTCTTTTATATTTCTTTCTTATTCCTTAAAACAAGTGCTCTCAAATTCTTTATCTACTGTTTTGTAACTGGACTCAAAAGTTCTGTCAAAGATCCTGCTTGATGAAACTAGGATATATGCTATAAGAGATAATATATCTTTGAAACTACTCTAATGACAAGCAACTACAGTATCTTATAGTTATATTAATGAACTAACTTACCCAATTGATGGTAATTAAATTAACCAATTGATATTTAGTATCTTAGACAACTTCCCTTGTTTATAAGTTAATAGTTTATAAAGCCAAAAATATATGTCACTTGGCAGAGTTAGAATAATTAAGCTCATTATTAGCCTAGACCTGATTTTTCAGTGTTCGCATACATTAGAGTCACCTGGAGTGTGATTGCTGACCATCACCTCCAGAGTTTGATTTCATAGGTATGAAGTGGCCCAAGAATTTGCCTTCTGATAAGTTCCCAGGTGATGCTGATGCTGTCCTAGGACTAACTACACTTTGAAAACCATTGTCCTAGATTGTTTCTCAGTAATTGAGATGCTACCAAGATTTTCTTTAGTATTGTATAAGGTGTACCATTTTGTTTAAATTTACATATTATATATGAAATATTTGTATATACTAGTAAATAATCAAGGTATGCAGTTGTTTGAAAAATTAAAAGGTTGAGGGGAAGCATTATTCTAGATACCAATTTAATTTTCTTTACTATGGTTACAGTCCTAATAGGCTAATGCAGCTGTCCCTAATAGCCTGTTTGCCAGGTTAAGTTTAGAAATAACTAATTACTAGATGGCATATTATATTCCTAGGACAGGGTAATATCAGTAATGATGTATATCAGTAAATATTCTACAATGTTTAACTAAGATCCTAATACTCTATACACCCAGTTCTTTTTCAGCATGTCCTAATATTATAAAGTATTAGATTTTATTTAAAGACTCCAGAGAACCTCCTCATATACACCAATACTTTATTTTATACTGTTTTGTTAAGTTTCTTTTCATTAGAACTTTTACTTGAAGAGATAGAAATTAGGTATTAGTTGAGTTTCTTATCCTCTCTGATTTATTAAATATATTCTGATTTGTTAAATACTTATATACCTTTTTGATTATTAACATTCTTTGTGTTTTTTTTATTTTTTGAGGTATAATGGACATATAACGTTGTATTATTTCCAGGTATACAACATAGCGATTCAGTATTTGTATATATTGCAAAACGGTCACCACAACAAAGTCTGGTTAACTTCTATTACCATACATAGTTACAATTTTTTTCCTTGTGATGACAGCTTTTGAGATCTGTTTTCTTATCAGCTTTCAAATATACAATACAGTATTACTAACTATAGTCACCATGCTGTACATTAAATGACTTACTTTATAACTGGAAATTTGGGCCTTTTGACCCCCTTCACCCCATTCTTTGTTTTTTTTAAGCCACTGGATGTGGACAAAGAATCCTCCCTGGTGACTCTTTGTTATGGACTGTGTGTTCTGGGACGGAGAGCTTTGGGGACTGCATCCCACCATATGTCCAGGTAACAAAGGCATGTCTCTTTTTAGGAAGAGTGTGGGAAGTTGTATAACCTAAATCAGAAAAATCTGAATTTTTCATTGAAGCTTTCTATGCTAATTTATTATTTTTTTTTCATTGAGAACATCATTTTTTTCTTTTGCTAATTTATTTTAAAAGTCTCTTCAGATGTATAGATCATTTTACTGAACATAGTTGAGTTCTACTAAGTGTTTAACAGAACTGGCTTTTAAAATTGACATACATGTGGGCAACTATTTATAATGAGAATTTAATAGATTTAAGACATTTTAAAAAATAATCACTTCATAATATTTGGTCTCCCCTATATACATCTATTTTTCTAATAATTCACCTCATTTTTATTTGTCTGTATTTCCTTGCAATTTTTGTCTAGAGTATTTATACTTTTAATATAATTATATGTTAAATTTTGGAACTCTAAATATAAACCAGATTTCTTGACGTATGCATCCAAATGAATTAGAATTAATAAATACCATGTATTTTAAATTTCTTCTGTGATTATTACGTGTTTTCCATTAGGCCCTCCTTAATTTCTTTTAACTTATAGACTCTTTGCCTGTCGTGTAGTTTCATGGGTTCACTGTTCTAGTGGTTCACAAACAGGGCTCCCAGGCCAGATGGCCCTGTGACTTGTAAGGCTGATTCAGGGGTGCTGACCTTAGTTCTCAGAATCTGTATTTTCAGAACCTCCCAGATCGTTGTGATGCACAACCAGATGTAAGAATCAGTGTAATGGAAGACCTTTGTCAATGTAAACTCTTATCTCCAATCTTAACAGTAATTTAGAGTCATTCCTCTATGGATTGCATGCCCTATTTAAGGGAGATTTCCGTATTTCTTCAATTCGAGATGAATGGATCTTCGCCGACATGGAATTGCTAAGAAAAGTAGTAGTCCCTGGAATCCGTATGTCCATTAAACTTCATCAGGTAAGAAGAGGAAAGTTCTAATGCATCACTGCTATTTAATGGTACTTCTTCACTTGACTTCCAAATTATGTTTCTTAGGAACCTTTTGAGAAATAATCTGATCTGTAACATGATTCATGATTCATTAAGATACTAAATCTTAGAAGCCTGCATTTGTGTTTCTAACAGTACATTTGAAGATTTATATTAGAGAATGACTGGTGTGAGCATGAGCTTAAGAAAAAATGTAAACAGTGACAAACTGGAAATAAGTCTTTGGCTCCTGTAATACTTGCTTTGACTTCACATGATTGTAATTCACACCTCTCCCATGGGTGAATGCTGGCTAACTCCCATTGCAGTATAGCAGCATCTCAGGAGCCTGATAAGTGCTGCTGTTACTGAACTGTAAGTTTCATTTAGCATGTTACATAGAATAATAGATGGTTAGGACAGATTTAGACTTAGTTAAATAATCCTAGTAGGGTAAAAAATTAAAATAAGGCCCCAAAATGTGTATCCAAAGCCCTGGATCATTTCAAGAATGTATTTTGAAATTAAGTACCATAATTGTTCATTTAACATTGTCAATAGATTCTTGGAAACGGTGACTTCAAGCACAATGAAGCTTAAACTAGTTTTACCATAGACTAATTGATATAAACAAGAGTTAAATTCCTACAGTATATTTCTGGTCACAAAACATCACCAAACTTCTAAATAAAACCCCAAAACACTTCCAGTATTAAACATTGAAGTAAATGTGAGCTGTATATACATTTCAGAGAGATGAATTAAAAACAAGATAATTATTTTCCAACCTAGTTATTCCAGTTCAGGTCGCCTCTTCCAGGAGCTCAGGCAGCAAGACGGGAACCAACCCTGAACAGACACCATTCCATCGCAGGGCACACTCACACTCACACCCACACTCATATTCACTCAGACTGGGACAATTTAGACACACCAGTTCATCTCACGTGCACATCTTTGGGATGTAACAGGAAGCCAGAGTACCTGGAAAAACGCACGCAGACATGGGGAGAACATGCAGACTCCACATTGACGGTGGCTCCGGCTGGGAATTGATTTTTTTCTTATGGACATTATAATGAAATGACATTATTCAAGGACTTGTTATACTGGCACTTGCTGCTCTAATCATTTCACTTGACGGTAGTTATCCGATCTGATTAGAGACTACATGATAAGACTCATTAAAATGTATCTTCTGTGCTCAAATCTAATTGAATCTTTTTTTCCCCAAATAAAAGGTGAATTTACTCTTCAGGTGATTTTACTATGATCAAAAGTGTTGGAATGAAGTTAATGCCCCATATTATTTTGGAGCATTACTGTACTGATAAAAGATATGTTATTTTAAAATCTCTGTGAAAAATGCAATACTGTTTTGAGGATGATGGGAAACATACATATTTGGGATCAAATAAAATTGTCCATCTTCAGACTAGCATTAAACTTTTGAAACAAAATTCAGAATTCAGTGTATTTAAAAGTAAACAGTAATGATCTCAGATTAAAATGTTTTTAAAACTTCAGAATTTCTCAAAAGGTACCAATTATATATTTCTATGTAAGAAATACTCTTTTGTATGTAGTATAATTATCTAACAGTTCCTGACAGACCTCTTCAGTTCATTCAAAACGTTTTGATAGATCTCTATCTCTATCTGGCAGAGAAGAAACTGAGGCACCGAATTCAAAGCCTCTGATACCTTAGGTCTCTGCCTCTAGTCTCTCCCGACAAGTGCTCTTGGCTGTTGCTGTCAGGTCCATCCTTACATATTCCTTTGGCTGAGGCATTATTGCCTGTGACACTGGTTCTGTGTCTTATAATCAGGCCCAGCACACTTGGGTACAGCACACTCTTAGCATCAGCCATGACTGACAACAACAGTGACGAACAGGGAGAGTAAGGAGGTGGAATAGGGAACCTGGGAACCATAGCGGGCTGCGGAGGGGAGGAGATAGAGAACATACATGCAGCCTGATGTAGTTTTGTAATTTTGATAACCTTCAAAGAAGGTAGAGCTTGACCTATGAAGTAACAAGTAACAACCATTTATTGAGCATCACTTTGAGCCAGACACAGGATTGCCCATGAGGGACTCTCGGGCCAGGAAAGATAAATGTGTAAATCAGTATTGGTCATGTTATATACTCATGAAAATCCAAAAAAGTGAACAGTAGGCTTATATATGAAAAGAAAGTGTTAGAGCATACTTGCCATCTAACCCAGCAATTTCACTCCTAGATATTTACCCATGAGAATAAAAGTGTATGTCCACACAAAGACTTACACACAAGTGCACATAGCAGTTTTACTCAGAATAGCCCCAAACTAGAAACAACTCAAATGCCATTCAGTGGATGATCATGCAGATTATGGTATAGCCACATGATAGCATATGTGTATTAGCACTAAAAAGAAATGAACCACTGGTAGATACCACAACATGAATAAGTATCAATCATGCAGAGTAAGAGAAGTCAGACATACAAAGAGTATCTATCATATGATTTTATTTATTCAAAATTTAAAACAGGCCAAACTAATCTATAGAGACAGAAAGGAGATCAGTGGTTGCTTGGGATATAGAGATTGTATGCCAAAAGGCAGGAAGGAACTTTCTGGAGTGTGGAAATGTTCTATAGACTGTAGCAGTGGTTACATTGGTGCACTTATTTGTCAAAGTGCATCTAACTGTACTCTTAAAGTGGGTGCAATTTATTGTATGTAAATTATATCTCAAACTTGACTTAAAAGATTTCATTCCCAGATAGCTAAAAATGTAGTTCATTACTGTTATACTACTTTTGTAAATTTCTCAATTCAACCTTAACCTCCAAATTTTAGCTCCGCAAATATTATTTCCAGTTTTTACATATTTTCTTTGTTTTCCTCATTCAAGTTGGTTTTTCATATCTTCGTATATATTGTTTTCTGTTAAAGGATTATCTCACTGTTTCCATTAAGGAACACTAAAACTAGGGAGAGACTGCACGGGCCACTGTGAGCTGCACCCTCCGTACAAGAGTCAACTACACCATTATAGCATGAAAGCAACGTGTAACCAATGACCACGGCTGTTCCCCAATAAAATTAAAAAAAAAATAAAAAGGAACACTAAAACTACATAAAAGGTGAAACTACATAAAAAGTCTCTAAAAGTGTGGATTTGTTAAATAGGCACTTTTCACATAAAGCCACATCTCTAGAATGATGCTAATATGAAGCGTGATGACAAAATATGGTGAATGTAAGTTATAAAAGTTATTACAGGGGCTAGCCAAGTGGCATTTTGGTTAAGAGTTGGCTTAGTATGCCAGCTCTAAGCAGCAGAGCCCCGGTTTGGATCCCACATGAGGGCCAGTGACGCTGC